AAAAGATACCAGTTTTGCGCAGATTGACTCTGTCGAAAAAAAATCAAGAATTCAAGCAACCGTTCTATATTCCCATGTCACGTGATCAAATTCAAAGATTTCGCATATATTTAATAGACGAAAAGAATGCTGATTCTACATTAGAAATCGAGACTTTATACTGCACGTTACATATAAGAAAATGTCTTGGAAGCCGTTCGTAGCCAATGTTGAGGAGTGGAAAAATCATTTTCTCACCACCAGTAAAACATACATGTTAACCTATTGTGATGAAAAAGAGGGAGATTCAGACCTCAAAAGCGGTAGCATTGCTCGCGTGTTGTTTAACGCTTGGATTATCGATATCTTTCATGTAATAATACATGTATATTATAAGCCTTAAATGAAATTGGGTACCTACACTAATTAATCTTAAATATCAACAGCAAATAAAAAGACAGAAACACCTTAAGTTTGACATTAATTGTACAAATTCAAATATTTTTCATGCTCATCATTTTGCTTGGATTGGCTTCTTTACTTTTGAAGGTTGATCTTTGGTGAAATAGCCTAGAAGCAATAATTCTGAAAGTTCATTCAGTTTTTAAACAAAACAAATGATGGCATGGTTTAATCAAGATATAAAACAAGTTCGTATCTTTCGTTATATAAATCAGATTTCCGCGATGATCGAAAACGAAAGTAGAGGTGTGCCACATGGCTTGGTCAATCGAGTGATTTCTATTGACTTTATTGATAAAGTTGTGAGCTTCTGTGCTTTTAAAGACGATGTCAAATGTTTTCATCTAATTCTTAAAAGCTGTATCTCCTTTTTCATGGCAGGGATGTTGATTAATTTATCGTAACCAATGTAATCACTGGTAGTCTTATGTTGTTGTCGTTGTCAAATCCGTGCTTGAAATCTATGTACCAAAAAAAGCGTTTGTATGATTCCGAGTCAAATCACGCGATATCTAGCGAGATTTAATGAGAGTGGCTTCAAAAATGGATACCCAAGCGAACCAAAAATACTTAAGACGCAACTTTTGTAGAAAAGCGGTAGATTTCTGAATTAAATCGGTAGGCGGGAGATGGAGTGAAAAAGCGGTAGACTCCCGCCTAAATCGGGAGAGTTAACATGTATGAGTAAAATGAAGTACATACCTAAACAAAAGACGTACGTGGTGGGACAGTTTGGCAAAGGAGCAAGCAGTCCAGAACCTAAGATAGAACTCGTGACACCCACACAGCAGGCGGTAGAAAGAGCTAAGGCGGAGTTAAAGAAACGGAAGCTGGAGGGTGGACCAGTCGTAACGTTTGAAGCAGAGGGACAACCACGCCCAAAGAAGACAAAGAAAAAGGCACCAAAAAAATTTGTATTTGCGCAATAAAAGTTCTTATATCTCAAATATTTGTCATTTATTAATTCTTCATCAACAGATAAGCATGTCATTTTTTACAGAGGGTTCAGAACCGGCTTTTAGCCATCGCTTAGCCCTCTTTCATAACTTACCAACAGATGCAGGAGTAGAGCAAACTGAGTGGATTGACATTCGACCAGTGGGAAGCACGGCTCACGGTGGGGTAATTGAATTTAACATTTCGGGCGCGTCAACACATTATTTGGACTTGAATAGAACTCGTCTTTTTCTAAGAGCAAGGATATTAAATGAAGACGGTTCTCCTCTGAAGGAGAAAGAAAAAGTAGGATTTGTTAATTTAACCTTACAGAGCTTGTGGAATCAAGTAGATATATCAGTACAACAACAAGTCATAACACCCACGGTTTCAACTAATTATGCGTATAAATCTTACATGGACGTTTTCCTCAAGTACGGGACTTCTGCACAAGTCCCTTGCTTGTCTTCGCAGCTATACATTCCCGATTCGGCTGGCTTCATGGATAGCGCTGACGCAGTTACAGGTGGAAATATGGGTTTATTTCAGCGGGGCAGTTTGACAGAAAAGAGTTCATTTGTAGATCTTGAGGGCCCCCTATACATGGATATTTGTCAACAAGATCGCTATCTCATCAATGGTATACAAGTAAACGTCAAATTGTGGCCAAGTAGAGAAACATTCTGCTTGATGGCTCCAACAGGTTCAAAGCGATATCGTGTACATATTGAAGATAGCATTTTAAAATGTTGCTACTTGAAAATCAATCCCGGCTTACTTCTGGGACATAGCGAGGCTATCAAGAAACAACCGGCTTTGTATCCGTTCATGAAATCAGATCTAAAATGTTTTGGTATACCGGCCGGGCAATTTCATTTGAATGTAGACGACCTCTTTCAGGGAGAAATTCCTGAAAAATTAGTTGTCGGATTTGTTTCATCCAAAGCTTACAGTGGTAGTTATGAACTTAACCCCTTTAACTTCCAACATTTTCATTGTAATTTTATAGCATTTTATGTAGATGGTAAGTCTGTTCCATCTGCACCATTAGAGCCAAATTTTAAAACCAATAATTATATCACTGCCTACACCTCATTATTTGTGGGAAAGAAGTCCGACTCGGAGACGGAGCAACTAGACCTTGGACGAACTGATTACGCAAAAGGGTATTGTCTGTTTGTTTTCAACATTAACCCTTCCTCCGAGAATGATGACAACTTACCATTATTAAGAAAAGGCCACACGCGTCTACAGATCAGATTTGACAAAGCTCTACCCGAAGCAGTAACGTGTATCTGCTATGCTAAATTCCCTGCTTTGATGAGCATAGACTACAGTCGAAACGTTGAAGTGAAATAATGGATTCTTTTGAATTACAATCAATATTACAGATTGACCCGAAATCTAAAAAGCGAATAAGAGGTGTACTTGCAGCTAATGAATTGCCCCACACACATTTGTTGAATGGATTTTACGTTTTAAATACAGATGAAAGAGGACTGCCTGGTAAACACTGGTGTGTGTTTTATTTTGACGGGCATTCTTCAGAATTTTTTGATTCCCTCGGACAGTCTCCAGAATTCTATCACAGTTATTTCAGGGACTATTTGTTGGCTAGAGGAAAAATTTATAAATTCAACAACATGCAAGTTCAGAGTCCCGATACCAATATTTGTGGTCTGTACTGTATATACTATTGTTTACTGCGTAGTCATGGAAACACTCTCGAAAGCATAATAAAGACTTTTGATGAAAATACCATTGAAAATGATCTCTATATTAAAAGGATTTTGTCAACTTATTACGACAAAAACTTTGAAATAAATTGAACAACTTTTATTGTGTCTATTCATTTTGTGTAAGGTCAGCTAAGAAGATGGACGTAGTGTATAATCAGAGAAAATCACAACTGAATGTTAAAACTAAGGCCACTATAGCGCTGTCGAGTATACTTTTGCTGACGTTAGTAAGTGTTTTGACATGGATTTCCTCAGCTCACGACCATAGTTTAGAAGTGGGTGTTGGAAATAATACCAACATTTCTTCCACGGACGCAAATACCAGTAATACTCTATGCAGCTTTATCAAGATGTTTCCTATTACCCGTGATTTGAAAGTTTCAGTCTGTGTTTTGAACAATCATGTAAGAATAGACATTAGATATTTCATACGTGAAAAGGCAACCATACGGGGGATTTTCTTTGATAAACAACAGTGGAATGGATTATTGAAACTGCTGCCACTTATTGAAAAAACTTTACTCTTGGTTTGAGAGAAGTGTCGTTTATAAATCTAACACCTGTATACTTTCAATAATTTATAAATTTTATGGTGTAGATAGTTTTTACTTGTAATGCTTAACAAATAAATTGGTTCACCATCAATTTGTATTTTAAGCCTTATATGAATCAAATTGATAAACAAATACATGTTGATCATTTGTCATGAATTGTGTGAAATGCGATTTCGTAAAAATGTTTCAACTACGACTGACTGATATGACAGAGCGATACAAGTCTGAAAGACGTCCGTTAATACCCTATCCGATAGTCAATCATAATCCAATTAAAGCCGCAATATTGGTAATCGCATTATCAGACGAAATGAGATTGAACCATTCCAATTTATTAATAATTGATAAATTGAAATCCTTTTATTGAAATTCAATGAACATGTAAAGTGACAACATAAAATCTTGTTATATTTCTTTTCTAATTGGAAGGAATTAGCCAGGATTAGTGGATTACACTTCATTTCAGGAAATATACCCTTTACTTTTCAAACTTTATTTAACTATATATAAATGTGATAATTTAAAAAAAAAACCCTACTTTAAATTAAAGGACAAATTTAGATTCATTACACATATTTCGTTAATTTAGAAAGAACACACATCTCTAACAAATACTTCTTTCTTTTGCTAACATTCCCTCTCAAAAACAAGGTGCTTAAATGATAGTTAAATATTAATTTGTATATATACAAATAATGCATCTAAAGAAGGAATCAGTGAACATCATTTTAATTCCACCGCCTTCATTGTAATAATAATTCTAAACAATGTAGGATCCCCCCTTCTTATCTCATGCATTGATTAGCTCCGACATTTCAAATCAGCTATTAATCTGAACTTTATCTGATTAATTAACATGATTAACAAAGTATGGGTTGAAACGCACGACCTTTGGTTTTTTTTTTCTTCACGCCTATAGAAAACAATTACATATCTTGGATCCTCTACTTTTATCTAACAGATAGATCCGCCATCTTGGTTTTACACCCCTAGAAATCCGACAAATCTTAGATCCGTCACTTTCTTCTAACCGTTGAGCCGCCATATTGGATCTACCCCAGGCTAGAGCCGCCATATTGGATCTAGCCTTAATCCCTTAATCCGATTAGTAAATTATGGGTTGAAATGCACACCCCACATTTTATGGGTCGAAAATTTATAGGTCCAAATGCTACCTCCTTATACTACTACTGTTAGGCAGAATCGAAAGATTGTTGAGTCTGTTGATGCAGGTGAGGTCAACCAATACAAATACAAGGTAGGGAAGCTGAATCAGATGGGACCTCTCGAAGTTGAAGTAAATCTACCAACCTTTGTTCCCGGGCAGGTAAATTTGTCCGAACTAAAGGAAAGTTTTGGCAAACTTAACCTGACAGAAATAATTACATCGACATCGATGTCTAATACTGTAGCATACTCTGCCGCCCTAACCGCAGAGAAATTGTTGGACGAAGTAATTGAAATTGCAGAATTTTGGACTGATGAAAATCTAAGGCATCTGTCTTGTACTGGCCCACAGGAGGTTTGGGTAAGTTACGATAAGAAGGCTTATATCGACCGTTTAGACGTACGTGGATCAGACGTGAAGTCTTTTATGTCCACTTGTTTGGACTGGAATGGTTACCCAAGTGGAATTTCTGTAACAAGAAAAGGAGAACTGGTGTACACAGATAAAAAGTATGGATTTGTTAATGTTTACCGAGATGGAAGACATAAACCACTGATTATGGTACAACAGGGATGGCAACCGATTGCAGTGTATTGTACAAAATTAGAGGATTTCCTTGTCTCTTTAAAATCGGTTGATGATCGTGTGTGTAAAATTATCCGTTACAAAGGAAAAGCAATCATTCAGGAAATGGCCAAGGATAACCGAGGTGATCCGTTATATAAAGGAGGAAATAAAATGCTCTATGTGACGGAAAACATCAACAGTGATGTCATTGCTTCTGATTGCAATGCCCAAATCGTTGCCGTAGTTAACAGTACAGGTGCACTGCGATATCATTTTAAAGGACATAAGTCGATCAAGGGTAAATTTACTCCTGGCTGCACTGTCACTGATTCAAAAGGTCGTATCTTGGTGGAAGATGATGGGAATGATTGTATCCAAATCATCGATCAGGATGGACAGTATTTAAAACATCTGAATTATTGTGGAATACTGAGCCTGGACACACTCGGGCGACTGTGGGTGGGAAAGTTTATTGGTAAAAAAGTGAATCTGATCAAATATACAGAATAAAAAGGAAAATATACCGGTATGCATTGTACCTTGTGTTTCCAAGATAAAAATGATTGTATCATGTACCGGGTATTTTTTTATTTACTAGTGGGGTTAAATGCAAAATTTAAAACATGATGACTGTCATTTTAGCTCACCCGAGCTGAAAGCTCATGTGAGCTATTCTTATCACTCGTTGTCCGTAATTCGTCCGTCTGTTCACATTTTCAACTTTTTCTCAAGAACCACTAAGCCAATTTTAACCAAACCAAACTTAGTACATTCTTGGGTAAAGGCGAGTTTAAATTGTTAAAATAAAGGATCAAGTCTCTTTCCAAGGGGGGATAATCAGCAAAATACAAAAGAGGGGGGTCATAAAAAAATCTTCCCAAGGACCACTGGGCCAGGAAAGCTGAAACTTATGTGGAAGCATCTTGTGATAGAGTAAATTCTAAATTGTTGAAATTATGACCCCCGGGGCAGAGCGGGTCACAATAGGTAATCCAAGTTTTACATTGAAAGATATAGGGAAAACTTTTAGAATCTTCTCAAGAACCATTGGACCAGAAAAGCTGAAACTTATGTGAAAGTATCCTGGGGTAGTGTAGATTCTAAATTGTTCAACTCATAACCCCTGGGGTAGGTCAGAGACACAATAGAGAATCTTAGTTCTACGTTGAAAGGTATAGTAAGACACTTTAAAAATCTTCTTTACTGGACTAGAAAAGCTGAAAACTATGTTGAAGCATTGTGGGGTGTCTAGATTCTAAATTGTTCGAATCATGACCCCTGGGCAAGGTCAAAATAGGTATTACAAAGGGACATCTGTTAAATAACAGAATGGCCAAAGTTACTCAGGTGTGCAATGTGGCCCATGGGCCTCTTGTTTTGCAACTACCAATAGGTATTTCCTTTTTATATATCTTTTTAATTTAAAAATTATTAACTAGGGATAATAACTGGTTGTCAATGTGTATCCTCCATCCAGGATTTTTTTCTTGAGGGAGAGGTTCTATGTGGTTCCACTTCCACATAGAAAACCAGACTTTAGAAAAATTAGGATTTTTTCAAGTTGTACTGATTGCTAAGAAAAAAATAAGCAATGCAAAACCGTACATTTAAACTGATGGTAAGAAATTTAAATAAATTTGTATCATTTTTTTCTTATCGTTTAAAGACCTTGACATTTGAGATTTGAATGTCTTCTTATCGAATCCAGCTAGTGAAGTGTACCGATTTGAATTACGTCATGATCTATTCTAACAGATCGCCCAGTTAAATAATTCACGCTCCCCGGTATAAGATCTCTGTGGTTGGTCTGTGGTTGGTCATTTTGTCAACTTTGACACAGAAATGAACTGTTGCACGAGCATCCAATTAAGGATAGGGAAAAACTACTGTCATAAGCTTGCGGTGTGGACTACCTTGAGCTAAGCTGTCAACATAGGTTGTGAGGTCATGTAAAACGGTACACTTCATTGGAATTGATAATATTCAAAAAACATAATTATAATTAAGAGGTTACTGCTTGAAATGTTGTACTTCTAGATCCATCCCTTACCAAAGTAAAATTATTGCAGCAATATTGCTGCTATATTGCGGCAACATTGCGGCAACACATTTTTGTCATCAGAAACAAGCTTTTTGTGTTAGTGAAATATCACCACTAGCTGCAACAACTTCAGGTGACATTCTGGCAATACTGCCAGAAAAAAACTTTCTGGCAACATCTAGGATTACCCATGAGCCATTTGTTGAGCATGCTCAGTCATTTACTTCCTCTTTTTAAATAAAGTGGAGGGAATTCAAAGGCAAGCATGTTTTGCTTCATTACTGACTTGTATGAAGTTAATTAGAGTTGTCAATTGTGTACAGTGGGATTAGTCAAGATGAGTAGTAAGACTGCATAGTGTGGAATGACTAGAAAAAAGAATTTAAGCAGAATTATAGGAATGTGTACTCTGTTTCCATATCATCAGACTTGGTGAGTCAAAACCAATATTTTTTTGAGATGAATGATTCAATGGAGATAAAATTGGAAAAATTATATGTGTTTTAACTAGTGCTTGTGCTTGTCAATGACAATTTGACCTTTAATGTGACCCATATGCTAAAAATAGCCATTTTGATCCTCAGCTATAAAATTTGAACTATAAGAGATAGAGACTTCATATTTAGTATGCATACTCCACTAATTAAGTTCTTTCAAATGACACCAAGAACAATGACCTTGTGACCTTGACTGTGCCCATATGCTATAAATAGCTTTTTCAAACTTTATTGGCACCAGGCGCATAGTGTTTCACAAACATATCTTGATTTTCATTATGATGATCAACATAATTTCCCATCTGTTCAAAGAATAGCAGAAGTAGCTATTTCTTATTGACACTGTGGCTTGCTACTGTTTGTTATATTCCTCAGCACAGTTTGTTAATTGTTAGATTGATAGATCATTATTTCTATTAATTAATACCAACTTAATTATGTAGTACTGTAGTGTTGCCAAAATATTGCTGCAGCACAGCCTGAAATGATACATGCACTGCAATTGCTTTGCAGCAACATTGCCGCAACACTTTTCTGGCAATATTGCCGCAAAACTAATTAACATACGAAAAACGATATTGCGGCAATAATGCCGAAAGATGTTGCCATAAGATCAATATTTTGGTCATGCTTTGCAGCAATATTGCCGCAACCCCTTTCTGGCAATATTGCCGCAAAACTAATTAACACACGAAAAATGATATAGCCGCAATAGTGAGGCAATAATGCCGGAAGATGTTGCCAGAAGATCAATATTTTGGTCATGATTTGCAGCAATATTGCTGCAACCTCTTTCTGGCAATATTGCCGCAAAACTAATTTACATACGAAAAACGATATAGCCTCAATATTGCTGCAATGTACTGCCAGAATGTTGCTGCAATATTGCGGCAATAAAACCAGAAGATGTTGCCAGAAGGTCAATATTTGGGTAAGGGATGTTTTTTTGTAGAATACTGCCCTCATTTTGCCCCAAGATAATTTTTTTATCGAAAAGTTCAAACTTTATTGTACATCTAGAGAACATTGCCTATCGCCAATAGCTTACAACTTTTAAAAATGTTAGAGGAGATTGAGGAAGAAGAAAGAGTGACAGATAGACTACTAGTCAGTAAGCTAACAACAACATTCCCGAGGTTTTCCTAAATTATGGTTAGAAAAAGGAGGGTCTGCATGGCCAGTCCTCGCTCAATACTACATGTAAGTGCCTGGATATCTATCGTTTGTCAAGGGTTTGAAGACTTGAGTACCATGTGCAATTTTAAAAAGAATGCCAACATTGAACAAAGTCCACTGCCACTTCCTGGAACCGAAAATGGAAAATATTTTGATTTAAATTGAAAGCCCCATGAGGATGGAGGGGGGGGGGTCATTCCCAGCTTCTGAAAAAAAAATCATATACATGTATAGAAAACGGTTGAAAGCCCCCCCACCCCACCCCTTATCATGTATATGTTTATAAACGGTATATAGGTCATGACTCCTGGAGGTCATTCCCAATTGCAACCTCCTGAAACTTGAAATGATCACAATATGATCTGCCACAAAAAGGTGTATCACATTGATGATTAGTCCATGGTTCCAAATTTAGAAATAAAAATCATTTTTACTGCCCTGTATTATTTTTTATGCTACCCTTCGAAGAATGGGTAAGATTGGGCCATTTTGGACAAAGTAATTCCCCTTGGACCTAGAAAAAATCCAATGATTCGCAGTTTCCGTTCATTTGCTTCGCAGAGATTGTACAGATTGAATTGAAATTTTGTATATAGATTTATCATAAGAATGTCTAGGTCAAGTTTTATAATGGGTACGATCGGGCCATTATTCCCCTTGGACTTAGAAAAATTCCAATAATTTGCAGTTTCTGTTCAGTTTCTACGCAGAGATTGCACATATTGAAATGAATTTTTGTATACAGATTTATCATAAATATATAGGTCAAGTTCTGTTTTAGGTACGATTGAGCCATTTTGAACAAAGTTATACCCCTTGGACTTAGAAAAATTCCCAGTTATTTGGGGAGGGGGCATAAGTGTTTTACAAACATCACTTATCTAAATATAAAGAGATGGTTGCAAATATGTGAACAATTGGGGGAATGTCTCTGCTCATAAAGGACAAAGAATCTTAATATTTGTGAATTAAACCTCTTTTCAGATTTGTTATCAAATTCAATCAATACTTATTCTAAAATATGAATTGAATATCACACAAAATAAAAGAGAAATATATATATGAATTAAGGGTTTTGTAAGAAGAATAAATAAATTTTCAGTTTTTTACCCCTATTTTACTTCAGTTTGAAAATAAAAATTTCAAACCATAAACACCTAAAGGACACCATGAATCATATTACAAAATATAAAATAGCCTCTGCATGCCGATTAAATTTTGAGAAAGACGATGACAGTCTGGCGGATTAAGATAGCAACAATTTACCCAAAATTTGAAAGTGGAAAAAAAACCATATACCGGTATAACATGCGATAGCAATTGTCCAAACTTAAAGCAACTCAGTACGGGGATAGAGATGGAAGTTTAGGACTAAACAATTTTCAAAGTAAATTTTGATATACTCGTAACTCCAAAAATCCCATGAAGCCACTCCCCTTCATTTTAGATCCGTGTACGTTTTTTTTTTCATTTTGCGATAATTGCAGGACAAGTCCCCCCCCCCCCCCCCCCGTAATCTATATGAGCCATACTCTTTTGAGACATTCTTTGTATAGGATTGTGTCAACTTGTCATTGTCATTCTTTGGCATGTTACAATATATAATATACAAAGCTAAATGAGACCAATAGGACCTTCTGTATAATGTTTAGGTTACAAGAGATTTTCACTCGAAATAAGTATTCAGAAAATATTTATAGATTATTGTGTAATAATCGTTTAATTTCTACAACGTATATTCTTTTGATTTGAATGAATACACACGAGGTACAAATGGATTCACAAATGAAACCCTG